AAAGTAGCAAACCCGCAGCTCTCAAAACGCATACAAGGAACTCCAGTGGAGGAATCCGTCTGTGCTGGCAGACGTGATGCCTCTGGGACTGGTGAAACTGTATCCGTGTCTCAGCTCCACTCCTCATCTGGATACCTGTGTTGAGGGGCATACACCTGGGACTGGTGTCAGGTTGTGTAGATGTCTGTGATTTTCTGGGGAGGTTGGAGCAGGTGTCACCTGCAAGTCTTTGCATCCGAGATGTCCTGAGCCTCAGCGGGAGCCTCCAGCTGAGCTGTGCTGTGGAGCTGTGCTGGTACTGAGGGCTGTGTTGGATGCCTTCCTGTGGTCAGAAGAGTTCCTTTACATCACAGAAATGGCCCTTGCTGACCAGTGCCCTGCAGTTTTGCAGTATAAAATGAGTGTCTCTGCTGAGTTCCTGCACAGAGCGGGGTGATGCTCAGGAGCACTGCGGGAGGGGAGCCCTGTTCAACCTATGATTCCTTACACACTGCAGGGATTTTGTCACATTTTGATGGCAGAACATGATCAGACCTTGTAGAGGGATGTGTCAGCTGATACTGTGTTGGGAGAAGTGTTTTCAGGTAATCTGCAGGCCACCAGTGGGACAGTCAAGCAGTTGAGGACCCAGGGCTGGCCCCAGCATGGGGGTGGGAAATCTTGTAGTTGGAGAAGAATAAGAAAATCTAATGTGAAGTTCTGGAAAACCACCACAACCAGTGAACTGAGACCAGAACTCTGTTCTCAGACTTTCTCACATTTTCCAAAACACTGTCATGACAGAAGCTATGGGGAAGGTGTAGGGGATGGATGGGACCAAAGCAGCGTTTGGTTTCATCCGTTGTGCAAGGGAATGCAAGGCCACAAAGATTTTTTTTGTGTTCATATAATCAAGGCAAGGTCACTTTGTTGTGGTTCTCAACCAGTTTTTTAAAATGCTCAGTCAGACCCCAGTCTTACTTGCTAAGTTGTTTGCAAAATTAGTTTAGTTTCTTAACAGATACTAAGGGATGGGGAGGGGAATGGGCAGGTTGTGATGATGATTTGGGGTGTTGTTGCAGTAATATTATATTGGGGAAAGAGTGTTTAAAAGAAAACCAGAAGGTGTTTGTGTAATGTTGACTTTGTTTCCATTCATCTATACATCTTCACATCAGATTGTGCATCCCTCTCTAGTACAGTAGTAGGAAAAAACAAAAGGGAAGAATGTCCTGACTTAAGAATAAGGCCTTTGCTAAATCAGGAATGATGTGTTCCCAGGAATGGCTCTCTGGCATTGGCAAACTGCATCAGGTGTATTTGTCTTTTTTGAAGACATACTTGCCTGTGAAATAGCCAGTGTTGGTGTTTGGTTCTCTTCGTGTTTTAGTTATGAATAGAGGCCAATTGCACTTGCCAAATATTTCAGATTGCTGGCCCATTTCTGAAAACATCTCTTCTAGTACTTGATTTGCATTTGATTATTATTTTCTGTGCTGCATATTTGAATGTGCTTTTTAAAATCAGTTGGAAGTGCCTAACTTCTCTATTCCCTAGACTGTATTTTTAATTAATAATGTAAAAAGGGCCTGGTAGAAACTTTGCCCTTTCGTAACCCCCTTACATGTGCATTTTTAGAAGATTTGGATAATTTAAATACATTTATGGTATATTTGAATCTTTAATGGCGTTTTGTCAACAACAACCTGTAATTGTGCAAAAGTTACATGTGTTTTCTGGTCATTTAAAACTGTTCAGCTGTGCCTTCATCACATGAAGGGTCTGATGGTCACCATCTTCCCAGAGTTTGGGGACACCTTGCTTCTCCCATCCTCTGTAAAGCTCAGGGCACGACTGAGACTTAAAAAATTCCCGGGTTCTGCAGTGACCTCATCACTGGAGATACTCTTGATCTCTCCAGCTCTTTTACTTCCAGCACCTTATTTTTGAAGCTTGTGGACTTTTCCTTCACATTTTAAATTGGATACAGGCTGTTGGAAAGCCAACTGCAACACCCCTTTGGTACAGCAAAGTTTACCTGGAATTCATGAAAGTCATTTCATCAATAAACGGTGGCCATGGGGTTTGCAGGTTGTACAGCCTGTAATGCGGTTTTACTTTTAAATTGGCAAAAAGGATCTCTTCCTCACTAAGCACAAATGTGAAAACATTCAGTGAATATCACTTACTCATAAGAAACTGGATTGCTCTAAAGTTAGTGCTATTCTTCAGAGCAGTGTGGGGTTAAAAAAGCAGAGCAGGTTTTAAAGAAATAAGCTTTCAATGTATTATTTTCATTGGAAATGTTCAATTGCTACTTTGGAAATCTTAATGTATATTTTTCAGACATCCTGAATTTGTGTCTTTGTCTTGTGGGGAACTTGAGAGAAATGAATACAGACAAATTATTTCATAAGACATGGGAAATGGCAGTGGATTGACAGTTAAATCTGGAATAGTGAATACAGTCAATTTTCCCCTTTGTTCTGTCAGCAGTCACTTGTACTCTAAATGTCTATTTAATTTTTTAAGTAGATTAACGGGAAATGTTTGCATTATTTGATTATTGAATTTACTTTCCCAAATAATGTATCTTTCCCTCAAATATTTATGTGATCTTGAAAATGTTTTTCCAGAAGGCAAAAAAAAAAGCTAAAAACGAATGGGGAACATATTTTGAGTTATTTGTGGTATATGTACATAATGCTTTGCCAGAAATCACTGTACACTTCCCTTTCAGTGGGGAAAAAAAGCAGTTTGTCATCTGTAGTGCCTTCCAAAATTAAATTCAGCTAATCCCACCTTTTTTAGCAAATAAGCAGCAGATTGGTCTTAAAAATGAAATTCAAGTAAGCTCTTGATGTGTGATATAAAAAATAAATAAGCTTAATATGTGAGCAACAGAGAGCATCTCGGTGATAGATGATAACACAGATTACCTCTGTTGTGCTCGTAATTAGGGTGGGCCGGGAAAGGAGAGGGAGAGGGAAGCGTTAGGAAATGCTTTTGTTTAGTCCTGTGTGATTGGTTTTGTTGGTTTTGTTTGGGTGTTCGTTTGTTTTTTTTTTATTTTGGCTTTTTTTTTTTCCCCCTGCTCTCCGTGTGCGCCTGCAGTTCGCAGTGTGCACGGATGAGGAATTGTATAGGAAATTTGCAGCTGCTCTAGTTATTCAGGAAGATTTGTATAAGCTGGCACAAGGGACAAAATTAGAGGGAAGTTGAGCGAGTGCCGTGCGCTTTATTAGCTTGGCAGCCATAATTTTGACCTTGCTGTGGGTTAAAGGACACAGACCTGAGAAGAAATCTGTTTATCATGTGGGGAATTCATGCCATCCCTGACAGTGTACAGTGAACAAGATGGATGATCTGCCAAATTGGTCCCTCGCATGGGTGAATCAGGGCAAATTTACTGTACAATTCCTTTGCTGCTCCCGATACAAAAATAACGTTTGCGGGGGTTTATTCGGTTGTGTGATGACCCAGGGTGAGCAGAGAAAAGAAATAGGATTTGCAGGATGCTGATTACCTTAAAGATTTATATGCACCTTGCTTTTCCTTTATGTCTGCCTCTTTTGCATCTCTCATAAAGCACTGAGGGAAAAGTCAGGTTTTTTTTGGTTTGAGAGAGAGCAACTTTATGTGAGTGTGTCAGGGAGCCTCTTGAATGCAGCACGTGAAAGCTTCCAGTACCCTGAACAAGAGTTACTCTGTGCACCTTGCCTCATTTGAGCCTTTTACTTCTGTAGTCTTTTCCCTTGGTGTTTGGGATGTATGTTTCCATGTTGTGTGTCCTGTAATTATTTGACATTGATAAATATTGGTAAATGTTCTTGGAAACAAACAGGCAAACTGAAAAAATAGGGAATTTTGCTCTCAGCCATTGCCATGGCAGGGATGGGACTGGGAGAGAACCCTCTCATAGTAGCACTGCAGGGCCCAGAAAACGCAGTTTTGGAGGAGTCTGGCCTCATCCTTGTCCAGCTGAGAGCTCTGCAAACTTCCTGCAGAGAGCTGGAGACAGACCCACTGATGGATGAGGCTGAGATCCATGAGATTAACCATGTCAGGTCAGGAGATGGGAGACAGCAAGGAGGAGGAAGCAGCCCCACAAAAATGGGAAAGAACTGGATGGAGAAATCACATGTGCCCTTTATCTTTTGAGGGGAATTGTTCTTGTAAACCATGTTGTCTACGTGTTGTTGCTTTTAAAAACGTTCAGAGTGTACCCTTAGATGTCTGGATTCTCTGGATAAGCTCAGTCAGTACGTTCTGTTAGAGATAAATTTATTGGGGGAAAACATTCTGTACAGAACCTATTGTTGTTGGCAAATTAACAGATTGGGAAACGCTTTCTTTTAAACCAAGTGTCACGATAACAGATTTGGGTGTCTCCTGATCCACTCACTATCTTTATGTTGGATTCTCAAACATGTTAATTAATACAGCATAATTACAAACTGTATTTTAATCTTGTTATTTCTGGACAGAGAGAATTGCAAAAGTGTGATGCGTGTGATAAGACAGAAAATGAAATCAATAACACTCTCAAGATACAGAGTTGTATCAGTTGTAGAAAATCCCTCATTGGCACCACAAAACAGTGGCTCAGTGAGTTTCCTGCAAGTCACAAAAGGAGGCTTAAACCAGTCTGTAATGGCAGCTTTAAAAGCATCTTTATATAAAAATGTTGTGGCAAGCAAAACTGTGAGATTTCCTGACCAAGGAAATTGCTTGCAAACTTACAGACTATTGCACTCCAGTTTTTTCCTGGTTTTTATTTGTATTTGTACATCTTGTCTTTATAAGAAATCAGAGATGACTCAAGATAAAATTAGAAAATAATTCCGTTTTTAAGAAGAGGCTTTTTAGTACCCAAGTCATAGCAAGTAGAATTTTGCATACTTAGGCATTTCTTCAAGTAGGTAGAATATAAATGAGAAGGAAAGTTAAATATCCTGCAATCAAAACATTACAATCATGCTAAAGTGGGGCCTTTTTTTCCTCTTTTTTTCCAATTACAGAAAGTACTCCAAAGACTTCTGCCAGTTGCAGTCCTGCTCCTGAATCTCCCATGAGTTCCAGTGAATCAGTGAAAAGCCTGACTGAATTGGTACAGCAGCCCTGCCCCGCCATAGAGACGAGTAAGGACGGCAAATCCCAAGAATCCAGCGAGCTGCCTGCTTCCGAATCCCAATCCAGCACCCCTTTGCCGCTGTCGGGCCACTCGGCACTGAGCATCCAGGAGCTGGTGGCCATGTCCCCCGAGCTGGACACTTACGGCATCACAAAGAGGGTCAAGGAAGTGCTAACGGACAACAATCTTGGTAAATCGCTTTATTCTCGTTTCTTGACTGAAATAACGTGTAAGTGCTTTTGTTTTGAGCTGTGGGTCAGGAGGTGTTCACGAGAATACTTGGGTTTGGCTCTGGCCTGAGCTTTAATTTGTTAAAAGGATATTTGATTTTTTTAAGCTGGTAGAAAAATCCTTTGTCCCACTCTACTTAAAATGTCATCACACCCTGGCTCTTCCTAAGCTCTGCTCCTGGCTCACCAGCCAGGTACTGCTCCCACCTCCCAAAATACACTTCAGCAAGCTGTCAGGACAACCAGAACCCCAAAACCAGTGAGAGCTCCCTTTGAAAAAGGCTGTTTTCCCCCATGCTTGAGGATTCAAGGCCCAGCATTTTGGGCACAGGTGAAGTAGAGGAGCCCAGGGTGGCTGGAGAGGGAGGTGCATCACAGGTAAAAGCACAGCACCTGTAGAGCTGGGAGGGTAAATCCAAACTCAGCTGAGGTTTAGATGAGCCTGCAGATCAGTGCACAGAGCCATTCAGTTACTTTGCTTAGAGATCTGCAAAGCTGAGGCTGCTTTTGCCTACAGATGAGTTTTTGGGTGTTGAATTCAGTGTCATGTTGACATGACTGCGTGTGTGGAACAGTCAGAGGGAATAACCTGATCTGGGTGTGGGAAATCCACATTAACACTGCAACTGTGCCTCTAAATCACTGGTTCTTCTATATCTTTAACACTTGCTTCCCTCACAAGGCTTTGGGAAACCTTTAGGGGTCCTTTGAGTCTCTGGCAGCAAGGCTGTCCCAGTGTTACCTGCTCCTGCTTCTGGGGCTTAGCAAGAGCTCCATCTCACCTGCTGTTAGGTGTTCTAACATCTGGGACTCTCCAGGAGTACCAGAATTCTCTTCACTACAAATGGGACCAAAAAGATAAGTTTACATTTAGACTGACAGTGACACTTAGGTGAGAAGAATTTTGTCCATGTCATCTGAATGTCATGACTGTAAAAGTAAAAGCTCCGTTTCAGTGTGTGAGGAAGACTTTTATCATCTAGACATAGAATAAAATGTTATTATCTCAGATTATTTTTCTAAGGGGAGAAGTACCAGGATGGGGGAGATTTCACATAATGTAATGTAATTTGTAAAAAATAAAAACAAACAAAAAAAAACCTAGAAAATGGCCTTGATCATGGACATACCCTGCATGAGATTGCGTTCCACTGAGCCCAGCAGAATTCCTTGTCCATGCACATTGGCATGGGCACATGATAGTTGCTTGTTCAGTGGAGATAACGTAGAGATAAAGCCCTAAGTCATGGTAAGGGTTTGCAGGTCCAAGCCCCTGGTTTTTGGGCAAAATGCTGTTGAGTGCTGTACCTGCTCTGGTGTTCCAGAGAGGTTTGAAAAAGTATTTTTGTTTACATTTGCTTTGATGCCATTTTTACTTAGTCTTTTTTATTTCCCATGATTTTTGTTTTCCTACAGTGTGGCTGACAAGCCTAAAAAGCAGCAGAAGAGCCAGGAAATGTGCCCCAAACTCTGCATTAGGTGTGGAACCAGTTTCAATGTCTCCTTTTGTGCCCTCAGTGTGCTAGTGCACCGGATTGACTGGTGCACAGGTTTCTCTGTCTTAGGCCACAGGGCCTTGTTCAACACTCACCAGTCGGGGGAATGGCTTTAAATGGAAAAGAGAGGTTTAGATGGGATATTGGGAAGAAATTCTTCCCTGTGAGGGTGGTGAGGTCCTGGCACAGGTTGCCCAGAGAAGCTGTGGTTGCCCCATCCCTGGAAGTGTTCAAGGCCAGGTTGGACAGGGTTTGGAGCAACCTGGGCTAGTGGGAGGTGTCCCTGCCCATGGCAGGGGGGAACAAGATGGTCTTTAAGGTCCCTTCCAACCCTTACCACTGGATGATGATTTCAGCAGATGATGCTGGCACTGTTAATGCTGAGATGTTGCCCCAAATGTCACGGTATCTTCACTGATTCCCTGTTGGGCCACACTAAATAACTTAGAGAGGGAAGCAGATGCCCTGAGCTGTTGTAGGATTTCAGTGGTGGGTATTTTGTGGAAAGGGCCAGGACTGTCCATGAAACCAACACAGAAAGTGTTGTCCATAAGTGAAACAGGCATGAAGGATGAGAAGTTTTAGGAAACCTGTGCTTAAAAATATTCCTGCTATTAATAGTGCTCTGATGAAGGTGGAGCGTGATACACCTGCTGCCTTCTGAGGATGATTTCTAACACCTTCCCCATTAGCTTGGGAGGCTTTCAGGTGTTTTATCCTGTCCTGCCATATCCTGGAATAAGATAAATGACACAAACATCTTTAGCTTTGTTCTTAACACCTAGAGAACACGATGTTACCTCCTTCCACCTTTGCATTTTTAATCTTTAGGGTGTAGTTTGAGGTTCATTTCCTTCAGCAGCACTGCTAGTACCCAATCTGGGCTGCTCATTCCCAACCATTTTGTGAATCTGTGCCCATATTCCTGTTCGTGTGGCCACACAATGACAGATTTTTCAAGTAGCTGTCTTATCTTGCTGGTAGCTGGCAGGTGTACAGGGAAATGGATGAGGCCTTACTGATGTTTTTAAATACAAACAGGGAGCAGGTTACCCCAGCAATACATGAGATAAAATTGGCCTTGAATTACCTCTTTTGTCTGATTTTCCTGATACTGAGGGTAATGGAAAATCACTTATTACTTAGGAACTTAAGCGAATTCTGCATGTAGGTTTCTATTCAGTCTGTAAGAACCATTTTCAGTGTTAGTTTTAGAGCTTATTAGCAGAGTGTCATGTTAAGCCCTGTCCTCCTTTTCCCCTCTCTGCTTCTCATCTCAGCTGCTTCCTCTGACAGCTTTGCAGACCCACCTGCCCCACTCATCTGAATGGACATTGTGCATCTTCTGACTGGCCCCACATTCCCTCCTCTCCCCATACAGACAAACAAAAATCACCAAAACCAGTTTGGGGATGCTTTTAAGGAGGAGGAGGAGATCCTGGAGTTAATCACAGGGAATAGGTCTATAGAGCAGGTATTTTCCATGACCTGTTTGTGTCAGGATCAGGTGAGGCTGTGAAGGCAAGAGCTGATGGTGTGAGCATGTCCTGCAGAGCTGTAGGGTCCTTAGCCCCCACTCATCCCTGTTGTCCCTTAGGGATCTGCTGGTTGGCACTCAGCTCAAGGTGAACCCTGAAGTGAAGGGGTTTAGAAAACCAGCTCTGTGGTTGGGTTTGAGCTGCACAGGGATTTTCCCCAGGCCTTGATAAGACAGACCTTAACCATATAAAGTCAGTGTCACCAGTGCACACACAGATGCTCTGCACTGAGAAGCACTGGCAGATTTCACCCTGATAAGGGGACAGCATTTTGAAAGAGAACTAAAACTAAGTATTCTGAACTAGAAGTACTGTAGAGGCTGTAAAAAAACATGTAATGCTGTAAACTGTGGTTACCTTTGGTTGGTGAGACACAGTTAGAACCCCTCATATAGTACAACACAGAAAATACAAACACGTGCCTGTGAGGACATTGCTGAAGGTGGGGGGGTTGCACTGGTCTTGGTTCATTAATTGCTGGAAACGTTTGGACTGCCCTGTTGGAATGAAGCTGTGGCACTGCCCTCCTGCATAAGAGCTAAGGACCCTCACTGCTCTCACTAGTTGCCTGCTTAGCTAGAAGTCCAGTTCACTTTTCAGCTCCCTAATTTTACTTTTTGCACACCGTTTCACTGTAAGGTCCCGCTCCCCAAACGTGTGTCTCAGGCAGATCCCAAGGATTAAACCAAAGCTCAATATTTACCCTTTTGGGAGGGAGGGGGGGAGCAGAGCTTTCATTCTCCTAAATGTTTCTTTTGGGTTTTCAGGGAGTTCTGAAGTAAGAATAATTGCCGAGCGCTCTCGTAGAACGTGTTCTTTTCAGCGAGCCCCTCGGCTGAGTGAATTCATGCGCTTCTCAATCTCGTATTAGGTCAGCGTTTGTTCGGGGAGACAATCCTGGGCCTGACACAAGGCTCTGTCTCAGACCTTCTGGCTCGCCCGAAGCCCTGGCACAAGCTGAGTCTGAAGGGACGGGAACCCTTTGTCCGCATGCAGCTGTGGCTGAACGATCCCAACAACGTGGAGAAGCTGATGGATATGAAACGAATGGAGAAAAAAGGTAACTCGGGGCACGGTGCTGACTCATGTTTTCCGTTCTCTCAAAGATCAGCGTGTCTTTTATAACTCTCCATAAATAGTATAGAGGCAGCATTGATCCAGTATTACGAAGGTTATGCAAAAGGACTTCGTGGCAGCTTTTCCAGAGCTTTATTTGATGCTTGCTCAAGCAGATACATCTCAAAATAAAAGAAATTTAAAAATAAAATGAAAAAACCCACCACAACAACAAAAAAGCCACGCAAAAAAAAAAAAAAAAAACCAACCCCAAACCCTGAATATTCACCAGCTGCTGGGAAATCATTGCTGTATTCTCCTGTAGATTAATTAGTGAGGCCCTGGTGTAGCACTGCTAACTTGCCTTACCAAATAAGAAATGCAAGTTTGGGGCTGGCTTTGGGTTATTAGTTAATAGTGCTGCAGCTGGTCACAGATGTTGGGCTGCAGGAACTGTGCATTGATTCCTGGGAGAGCTTCTTGCCAGTCCTGCACTGATGGTCTCTAGGAGAAAAGAAAAATGCAGCCTTTATAAAAGGGTATTTGAGAATAATTATATTTGTAGCCTTTATAGGGAGAGGGGAAGGTGATTGTGTTAGTACATACTCACATAAAACAAGGTCATCAGGACAGACCTGTGAAAAGATCTGAGTTGTTGTTGTTGGGTATCTTAGTAGGGAGCATATCCTGCAAATTTATACTATTTCTCTCTATTTTTAATTCCTTAATAAAAACCAGTGGTTGTTCAGAGCCCTGTTTTTAGTACGTTCCTGTGATTTTACGGGAGAGGCTCAGAGGCTGCCATTATCAGCAGTTAACTAATTAATGATATATACATCTCTCGAGCTATCCCTTAATGATATTAGCACAGACATCATTAATCGTGTACACTGAAAGCGCTGCTGTTGACTGATGTTCTGAAAGCATTTACACATTTGATCAAGAACTTGGTGATTATATTTAAAATTGCAGCGAGGGAGCTTCTGGGAAAATTACAGTCTTGCAGGCTTTTAAGAAGAAATTCAAATCCTTGCCTCACAGTATTACATAAAGCAGTGCAGTATCTTGTGAGTGATCTTCCATGGGGAGTAAAAATCCGCCTGGATTTCCCACTTCCAACTGTAAACCAAAGGGACCCATGAGGGGTTTTGCCGTATTAGAAACATGGCAGGAATAAAATTGTCAGCTAGCTGGATTTTTATAGCCTCGAAGAGAATATTGCCCATAATGCAGGAAAATAAAATCAAAATAATTTAAAAGTAGTGCTGACAATATCCTTTCGAAACTATTTTCTAAACTGGATCCTTATCAAACAGTGAGCGATACATATGCTCTGTAGATGGTACCTGAATAGAGATAAGGCCATAAATCATTGAGACTCTGCACTGAGCTCCTGAGCTGTTCAAGTGCTGTCCTCAGAGCGGTCGAAAGTGAATTCCAAGCCTGTATTTCCTGCAAAATCCTTTCATGCAGGTAAGGATCCTGTGATTTAACCTTTTAAATTGCTCTAGAGCCACATTAAGAATTTAACTTTCCCTTCAGCTAATGTCAGTTAAAGAACAATGCGCCTGGATCTGCTTCCAGTGAAACGTTATTATCAATTATTTCTCTGCCACATTTTATTAAGGGAGTAAATTAATAATTATGATAAAGGTGAGCTGCGATATCTTTTTTTTTTTTTTTTTTTTTTTTCTCCTCCAGGCTGAAGTTTGTGCTATAAATGTCCATTTGTAAAAGGTTCTGAAAATTTGCAATGTACATTAACCACCCTCTTTGGAGGAAGCCAGGGGTTCAGGCTCACCATGCTGAGACACTCTGCACACCTTTCCTGCCTTGCAGGGAGTTCATTCCTCTCATCACCTGCTGTTATGTGTGTGCTGCTGGCAGCTTCACACTCCTCACAGGACAGCCCTGAATCCTGCTGGCAGGAGAATATTTGATTCCCCTCATTTCCTCATTATTTTGCCTTGTAATAGTCTTGTTCAATACCATGTAAGATAAAAATTATATTAGAAGGGGCTCTATTTTACCTCAGGGGCAGCTGCCACCTCTGCAGTGGTGTCTGTGGCATCTGTAGCTGGGCACATGGGGAGTCTTCCCAGAGGGACATGGGGATGCTGGGGGGAAAAAAGGTGTAACTCAGGAGGTAGAGTTGGTTTTGGCAAGTCCATCTCAGCCCCAGATCCAGACCTTTGCCCAAATTACATCTGAGTTTCTTTTTTTTTTTTGATATGTCTCCTGAGAAGTGGAGACTGGTCACAGACAAAATCAAACTTCTCCAAAAATAAAGTGTGTTTGCAACTTGGATTCCAGTTTGAGCCTTGCTGTCACTGCAAATGTGCTGAATGATCTCCTTATGCTGTCTACACACAGCACATATGTTTGAAATAAAAATTAAAATGGAAAAGCTTTTATAAATGTCATCTAAGTTTCCAGAGACCGGCATTAAACCCTGAAGCCTGGGTGCTAGTTCTGCCTTTGGTCCAATGGAAATTTGTTCTGACAATTGATTATTCCCCAGAAAACAATTGGCTGCTGACAGAGCAGTGGGGACACCCTCCTCTTTATGGTAATGAAATGTGAGCATTTGTAGAATTTGTTCCATTCTCATGAGAGCAGCCTAAATCAGCCATTGCTCCTTTGTGATCCCAGTGTGAGGTTCCAGGAGCACAGGTAGGGATGCCATTTTTCCCAAGCTATCACAGCTCTAGGCTCTCCTTTGCTGTTTAAGGGTGGAAGCTCTGCCCTGCCAGAAATTCCATCCTTTGGAGAGCGGTGAAAGCAGAGATTCAGCACATCCTGATCCGTGGGTGTCTCACTCTGACTCAATGGCCTGACCAAGTTCCAGAAACTCCAGTTAGAGATGCCCTGAGCACCTTTTTACATCTTCCATGCCAGGTTCTGTTTTGTCTTATGGCCTTCTTGAAGCTGCTACCCGTTGCTGAGGTGATGGGTGTTGTCCTCTAACCCCTTGGTTCTGCTATCCAAGGAGACAAGGGAGCCTTGTCTGTAGTTTTGCATGTCAGTGCAAGTTGGAAATAACATCTAGGAAGGAGTCTTGAGATTAAGAACCTTATAGAAATGTGAGATTCTCTTGCTGGAATGATTAATTCCACGGTTGAAGGTTGTAACAGCTCCTTGAAGGCTGCAAAAATAAGGCAAATGGGTCACCTTGAAATAATGCAGAATCTTTGCTATTCTGCATCTGGTTGGAACAACTTCAGTAGGTGGGTTTTTAAGGAAATTTATTTTAAAACAAAAACAGTTCGGTTTTTTATGGTTATTTCGAACGTGTGCAGGACTGTATCACGTCAGAGTGATGGATCACGAGCATCTCACGTTCTGTTCCATGCCAGTGATCTTACACAGTAGGCAATCCACAGGTAATCTGTCATATTCAGGAAAAACAAAATGCAGGCCATGCAGATACCCCCAAAGGTTACAGAGTGTGCTCAGAATTCACTTCAGTGGTAGTAAGACACAGTGTAAAAGGTCCCACTGGAGGTGCCACCGTGTAGAGGACACGATGCTGGAACCCAGTGGAGCCAGAAAACCCGGCCAGTCCTGGAGGGAGCTCTGCCAGAAGAAGCTGACCAGTGTGAGCAGGGCTTTGAACATTGCTGTTTATTTGATTGCATTGAATTTTTATTCTTTGTGCGCCCTCAGCTTGAAGGCAGAGCTGTGGGGAGAGAGGAATTGATTTTTTTGAAGAATTTGCTTGCTGACCTGTGTGACGTGCCCCACACTGGTCCCTGGCTCCGACCAGAGCTCCTGGCTCTTGGAGATTTAGTGCCTGCTAGATTGATGTCAGGCTGGTGTAATCTGGAACTTAATAGCCAAGGTTATCAAATTGCAGCTCTTGAATACCTAAACTCTTAAATATCTAGAAGGTATTTAACAGGCCATTAAATATTTTATTGACAAGATTCATCTATATTTGCTGTTTTCAGCCCCCTCATTAGCAGTGCTTGTGCATGATACTGCCAGGTGCAGTAAATCCCACCTCTCTGTGCCCGGTGTAAATCAATCAAGTCAGTGACAGCATTTGCTGGGACTCTTTCCTTGCAGAATTTGCCAGGATAATTCACTCCCCATTGGGGAGGAAGGTCAGTGGCAGGATCACAGCCTCACCGAGCTCCATCAGTGCAGTGAGAGCTTTCTTGAAAGTACATGTGTTTTGGAGGGAGCTTTGTGTAGGGGAGGAGGGTGCTGGGGGCTGGTTTTCTTTCATAACCTGTCACTGCTGTAGTGAAGAGCTGTAGGAAAAGGCAGCACAGCCCATCACTGGCATCTCCGGGCTCCAGGCGCCATCGTGTGTTGGAGATGGTGTGGGAAGGCTGCCTTCCACTTCCACTGTCACATTTTTCCTTCAGAGACCTTAGTGTTAGAAACACCTTCATGCACACCTGAAATGTTTTTACCACCAAACTCATTTCAGCCGAGATGAAGTGTCCTGATCGGGCGCTTACGTGGGAGTTCTGCTCTTGAAAGAGCGAGTTTGAAATGAGTCCTGTGAACTGAACCCTGTTATTCATGTCCCACGTTCGCTGAAAAAGCAGAAGATCATGGCAGGTTTCCAGTTGATTTACCCTCTTTTCTTCTCTTTCTGCCTCTTGCATCCTCCCCACATTTGCTTTCCTCTGGTCTCTGATACCCTGAGTAGCCCATCCGTGCATTTACAACCTGTCAGCTCCGTGTTTGTCCTGCAACTCAAACGCTCATTGATTTTGCATTTGTATTCAGCCGGGGCTGATCCACTGTGCTTCTCTTCCAGCCTACATGAAACGGCGGCACAGCTCTGTCAGCGACAGTCAGTCCTGCGAGTCCTCATCCGCTGGAATCGACTACAGCCAGGGGGCCAGCCCACAGCCCCAGCACCAGCTCAAGAAGCCCCGGGTGGTGCTGGCACCAGAGGAGAAAGAAGCTCTGAAAAGAGCCTACCAGCAAAAGCCATACCCATCACCAAAAACCATTGAGGAACTCGCTACGCAGCTCAACTTGAAAACCAGCACCGTGATCAACTGGTTCCACAATTACAGGTATGGGAGATCCTGGGAGCCCTGCTCCTCAGGGATTTGTTGGGTTTGCTTTGGCAGGGTGCTGCTCTGCTTCAGCAGACTGTGTCTGCTTCCTCCAGCGCCGGGGGGTTGTATAAGATGAGCAGTTTCGACAGCAGGGAGGTTCTGACTAACGTAGTGCTAATGCTCCAGACTAATTTTAAGTCATCCCTGAGGAGCAGCAATATTCACATATTGATGTAAGTAGTGCTTTTAAACAGAAAGTCTCGCTTTTGGGGTGGGCGTGGATGTAGAGATGTCCACTGATGAATATTTATAAACCCACTGCAGTAGGCAGGGCTGCTCTGTCTGACTCACATAGGCACACTCACATGTGCAGGGGGGTGTTGTGGGTGTTATCCCTGGGTCACAGGGTGGGGGGTACTTGGAAGTGTCTGGATGGCATCAGAATTGCCCTGCTTTCACTGTGTTGTTTTCCTGCATGAGGGCGAAAAAGAGGATTTTCTTTTAGGTCTTGAGCCACTGAGAGCTCTGGAAATGGGCACAGTGTGGTTTTGGGAAGCTCTGTAGAGTCATGAAGGACAGAGAACTGATAACACTGAAGTCAGATGTGGCCACAGAGAGGGACTTCATACAAGGCGTGTAGTGACTGGACAAGGGGGAAAGACTTTAAACTGCCAGAGGGCAGGGTTACATGGGTTATTGGGAAGAAATTCTTCCCTGTGAGGGTGATGAGACCCTGGCACAGGTTGCCCAGAGAAGCTGTGGCTGCCCCATCCCTGGAAGTGTTCAAGGCCAGGTTGGACAGGGCTTGGAGCAACCTGGTCTAGTGGAAAGTGTCCCTGCCCATGGCAGGGGGATAGAATGATGTGGTGATTAATGTCCCTTCCAACCCAAACCATGATCTGTAATTCTATGATTTATTTTACTGTTGTGATTTAAACATTGAGCTCTATTAAAATGAAATAAGATGCTGGTCTCTTCAGTTCCTTTCTTGCTTGAGAGGGAACCTTCAAACCACTGAAGTAGGTTTTGACCTAGAGACAGTAATAAAAAGAAACAACACTGGAATAGCATATAAGAATTATAAGGATTTGAATAAACATATTATCAACTGTGCTTGGGATTGGGAATCTTAATTAGTGCAGCAGACTTTTCTCCAAGATATTTGTGCTAATGAATATTGAGCAGGTACAGTTAAGCTACCAGATTTAATACTATTCTGCTCCTTCTCTCAGAGCCAGCAATGTTCCTAATTAGTCCAGACTGCTAAACTTGTTTGTTTTTAGAATCTGCTAACATTTCAAGGGTATTTTTCACTTTGGCCCTTCTCAGCTTTTACCAGGAAAGTTGCTGAAGCAGAAGCAACAGAGTTTAATGAGATATCTCAGAAATATTGTGCACAACAGTTAAATAATGTTTATAGTAAGCTATACAAAATTTAAAAATTATAACCGCAAAATAATCACATTTACACTGAATCTCCCTGCCTTGAACTCGGTGCAGGCGCAGCCTCTTCCGCCACTCAGAGTTCTCCAAGCACAGGCCCCTTCCAGTTCCCACTTCCAGGCAATTACGCACAAGTTGGAGGAGTGCCTGTGAAAATGCGTTCCCTTCGGCCTGACAGCAAACTGTGCTGTTCTCACTTAGGCAGGCGAGCAGAGAGCACTGGTGACGTGTGTCACCCCCCTCATTACCACGGGCTGCCCTGCTCGGGAGCGCGTGACAGGCCCTGATTGATCAGCGTGCTCTGCCACAGCGAGGGGAGGTGCTGGCAGCTGTATGCAAAATAAAAACACCTCTGAACAAGGTGCTGTGGGCTGTGGGCAGCACAAACCCCGGTGCTGAGTGACCTGGACCTGCTCCCAGATGTGCTGCTGAGGCTCCAGGACTTTTAAGAGCTCCTTCAAGCCTGTTCAGAGCCCTGGGTGCTCCAAGCAGTTGGCACCACTGAGAAATCAAAACACATCCCTGTTCTTTTCCTCTGTACAGTAACTATCTTAGCTTTCATGCATGGAGTGCTCTTAAATCATTTGTAGCATGCTGCAGAAGAGGTACAGGGTTTATGTTCTGCAAAGGGAGCAGGGTCTGACCATTCTGCAGCTCATGTGTTGTAAGAAATGGGTGGTCTTCCCCCTCTTCATCTCCTCCAGGCCACACTTAAATTTGTTTATCTCTCGTATACTCTCCTCAGCCATTTCTTTTCCAAACTGAAGAGTCTTCATGAAGAAGCAGTTCCACATCTCAAGCCATTTTCTAAATTCTTTAATATTAGTTTTTACTTACACTAACTTCAGGTAAGGCGGGGCACAGATTTGGACAAGTTTGTCTTCCCATCTCTTGGGTATTCTGTTGCAGTGATGCTTTTTCTTTCAGATTCAGCCCAAATCTCACTTTTCCAAAGGTGGTTGCTGCAGCAGGATCTACCTTTATATCCACCAGATGGAAAGACAGCATTAGTGTTTATTTATAGCAGAAAGAAACTTAAAAAAAATCCTCAGCAGGCAAAGAAATAATTCACTTCAGAATATAAATAGGTGTAAGGGATTTTGATATGTCTACTTTGCACCCATACCAGTCACATAGCTCTCAAAATATTAAATAAATATCCTTTACTTCACATTGGTGAAGCACATATAGAACACATCAGAGTTTGAGGCTCTGTTGTCTTAAAAATATCACAAAAAAGTAGGAGGTAGGAATTTCTGTCCCACTTCACCTGTGCAAACTGGCACATAAACTCAGTAGGGTCACAGATATTACAGGCCCATCAGGAATTAAACCAGACTTTCTGGAACTGTAGTCTAGCACTCTTGGATCCCAAATTCTGAGCACATTTTTCAGTGAACTCTGCATTGTGCTTGCTTTGATGTTGTGTGAAGGCTTGTCCAGGGAACTGCAGCAAACACCCCAGGAGATGGCTGACGTTTTGAGTTACACTGATAAATGCCAACAGGGTGTGTGGATGTCGAGGCCAACACCTTCCACCAAGAGGAATGCCCTCTGGAATTTTCTAGCTGCTGTCACCAGTTCTTCTTTACCATAGGGATTTAATTACTGTGTTAATCAGCAGCCAGACTAGATTCCAGAAGCAATATATTGGGTGTGAATTCCAGGGATTTCCTCAGACATGGAAGTGATGTTTGGTCAGATGCTGGGTGAGGATGTCAGCATTCAGTACCTGCTGGAGCAGAGGTGTTTTAAATGCCATGCAGGCACAAAGCTCTTATGAGTTTCCTCTCGTGACTTGGGGAATGTTACAGAAGCAGCATGTTCTGGATCAATGTCCATGCAGGGAGATTATAGGCACAAAGAGAGCCTGATAATCGATGTTGCAGGATGCATGCAGCTAATGGTAATGGAAAATTAATGTTAGCACCTGTGGTCTTCTGTTAGGTGAGTAATATTCTCCCAGGGAAAATTACAGACCCCCTAAATCCTTCAAAAGTGTGGAGTCAGCAATACTGCTGAAATACTCGGTTGCATTTCCAATAAGTCAATAATATCATTAGTTTCAAAAGCTGTATTCAGATGGTGTTCTGCATTTGGCCTAATGTTTTCCCACTGTGTGCTGTCTTCCATACCACATTTAAGGAAAAATGGAAAATCCACACAGCTGTCAGCGTTGGGACAGCATTTCACTCCAAGCCCCGTAACAGTTCCCCATGGCTGAAACCCAAAAGTGTTACCTTCAGACTGAAAGATGAAGTTTTGGTAAACCCTCCCTGTGCCTGTGGTCTCATCCCTGACCCCGGGTCACTGAGGCTCCCTCTTGGTTATAGATTAGGACCTGAATGGTGTTCAGCACCTCTCCTGCAGATGGAGCAGGACAGAGAAGGGGTTAGCCCAGACCCTAAGGCTTCTCCATAAACTGTTCCCTAGGGAATTTGAAGCTCCTAAACAGAAAAGGATGAAGGAGGAAAGAACAAGTTAAATGACAGAGGTGCTGTATTTGGAGTATTCTTGCACCCCTCACGTAACAGGAAGAGCAAGGTGGCACACTGGGCAACTTTATCCATATGTGAAGTGCATTCATTCCCATGAAATGCACTGCCTGGTTTGTCACTATTCATGTTCTGAAATTGATTTTTTGAATAAAAAATGAGGCAGAAATCAGACTAGCTCACAGACTGGCAGCCTGTAAAAAGCCCGGGCTTCCCCACAGCACTTTCATCACAGCTGACTTGGTTTCATCTTTGTTTCTCTTTGCTGTCCAGGAGAACACCAAGGAGTTTATGCAGAACTTTTTCTGATTTATGTTTTGTTTAGGCAGACTGGCTGATTTCTAGTGAAGTTCTGAAATTGATTTGTATTTACAAGGCATTTTCTTCTGGATCTCCTAGAAATACATTTGTTTTCTTTATGAAAAATAGGAATAAATTTCCCACCAGGGAAGTGGCAGAGTCACCATCCCTGGAAGCATTCCAAAAACCAATCAGTGTGGTTGGTGATACAATTTAGCGGGCATGGTGGTACTTGGGTAAGGTTGGACTCAGTGATCTTGGAAGTCTTCTCCAAGCCTTAACGATTCCGTGAATTCCACGAAAGGGCGTTCCGGGCCGTGTCTCTGGTGTAGGTGAGTGGCCCGGCAGACTCACATCCCTCTCCCCTGTCCCGCAGGTCTCGCATCCGCCGGGAGCTGTTCATCGAGGAGATCCAAGCCGGGAGCCAGAGCCAGGCTGGGTCGAGCGACTCTCCTTCGGCCAGGAGCAGCAGGGCGGCTCACAGCTCCGAGGGGGACAGCTGCGACGGCGTGGACGCGGAAGGCCCTCCCGAGGGGAAGCCGAGTGGCCCGGAGGCGGATGAGTACAGCAATGCAACCGCAAAGTCTCAGGGAGGGCCCGCCGAGCCGGCTTTCGAGGCGGGGGAAGAGGCACTGCGAGGCGCCAGGTCTTCGGAGAAAGCGGAGCCGTTCCAGGCCGAGAGCCTGGAGGACACCGACGACGAGGGCCGGCTCAGAGCACCGCGCCAGAGCTCCCCGCCGGCACCGCAGCGCCCGGGAGAAGCTCTGGAGACACTGCCAAACTCTGCCACGGAAGGGGATGCCTCTACCTCAGCTGCCTCCACCTCAGTCCTTACGGGGGAGAGCTCCTACAAGTCAAAAGAAAGTTCGGAGAAAACCTCCAGTGTGCCAAGTACGAGCTCGACGCCGGCCGCAGGCTCGCAGAAAGCCAACTCTCTCCAGAGCTTGTTCGGCTTCTCGGAGGCGGCGAGCTCCAGGAACACGCGAGACAGCTCCTTGAGGAAAAAGAAAGCGGCCAACTTGAACAACATCATCCACCGCTTGGAGAAGGCCGCGAGTCGGGAAGAGGCCGTCGAGTGGGAGTTTTGAGATTAAACTGGCCCAACTCGGGAGAGCTGGGAAGTCAAACTGGACCTCTACTGGTTTTATTGTGTTCGCACTTAACCGCCCTGCGGGCCACAGGGCAAAAACGCCATAGGCCAAGGTGCATATAGAAATCAAAAAGGAGCGTTAAGCCCAATTTATGTTTGTGTTTTCGAGGAAGAAAACTGAAAATGTGTAGTCGAGCTTTTTTGTACCCTGAAGTGTTTTTATTATTGCCCTAAGTGATTTCCACAGTTTCTGGAATAACTCATACAGCTTTGCCTTGTGCCCTCCTCTTTGGTGTGGGGCTTTAAAAAAATGAAAAACGGAAAAAGAAAAGAAAAAAAAAAAAACTTTAAAAAAAAAACCTAAAACTAAAAAAAAAAATCAAACCCACATATTAAAAGGGGGCTTTTTATCTGCCATCTAATGGCTACAGAGCGATAATACACTTATTATCTTCTTAAACCAGGAAAAAAGGGGAGATTTTTCAAAAAAAAGAAAAAAAAAGAAAGTTTTTTGTAGCTGTTCAGTTGCCACTAAGAGATTGCACAGTCAACCGACTCTAAACACACTAGTTTGGATTCCTACATATTTTCAAGAAAAGAAAAGAATCTTGTTGTTTGAAACTTTGAATTAAAAAAAAAAAAACACATTTACTCCACATATTTTTTAACAAAACAAAAAAAAAAGTCACATCAGGAAAATATCTTAATTTGTGGTAGCTGACTTAGTGTTTTCTTGTAAGTGAAATAGAATATTGACACGTAGTGCACATTGTTTCATAGCTTTAACTGATTCTGGTCTTTTGCAGCCCAGAATTTGTTTAATACACTCCATTTTAGGCCAAATCAGGACAAAAAAAAAAAAATCTGAATCTAGGTATTTTATAATCTGCTTTTTAACCTCTAACCACAGAGCACGCTGATCAGACCTCATATCTAGGAGGTTTAGGAGACAACTTAGAAACAGCATGTACTTGATCATTTCACTTGGTTCGTAGTGTACAGGATTTCCTCTCAGCAAAGACAGATCGCTCCAAAAACGTTGGCCAGTAACATTTCAGCCGCTACTTCGGGGGCGTAGCCCGTATCCCGAATATTCAGCTTGCCTGGAATCGATGGAAAAGCAGTTCACGTGTCCGATTGCTGTCACACACCACTAAGAGGGACTGGAGCTGCCGCAGATCCGGCCCTTTTCCTGCTGTTGGTGGCCATTTACTGACTCTCTTCCCACCGCAAGCACTGATTTTAAATACGTTTTAGTTGTGGGAAGCTTTTTTTTTTTTCTTTTTTTTTGGGTGGATAAAGAGTACATGGCAATGACCAGACGGGCTCTTACCAGGATGGAAGCAGCCCAAACTCCAAACCAAAACCTTTGTGCTCTCGAGTCCCAGTGGAGCCCGTTCTGTCCTGCAGAAATACAGCCTTTTTTTTTTTTTTCTTTTTTTTTTTTAAGTCCCATTATTTTATGCACAGGTTAGGGCTGATCAAAGTACAAATCAAATTCTAACTTGTCTCTAACTCCTCCTGTTGTCTATATGTATATGCGTGAGCATAGAGGTGCGTGGAAGGATGTGTGTGCGTGGGTGTGTGCGTGCAATTTTATACGTCTGTGTATTTTCTTACGTACTTGTGCACACATAGAGTGCATTACTGCCACCTTTTTTCAATAAGCTGTTTTATCAGTTATGGCTTCTACAAGTTTGCTAATTTAGACTCCTTTATTGCCATATCTTTAAAACTAACAATAGATGATTTCGGAATATATATATATATATAAATATATATATATATAATTTTTTTTTTTGCTTATTTATAGGTGCTGTATTTTATTATCTGATTGTTAGGAAGGGATGAAAGGGGGCAAATATTCTTTAGAGGGATAGACTGCCGGCAGTATTGGGTATAATTTACAAGATGTAGTTGTCATACTGTATATTATTGATTGAAGACTTTTTTGACCGTATTGTGTATCATTGAACTTTTGTCTTAGGTCAGCATCTTTTTGATGACACTTTAATGGTGCATTCATTACTTCTTAAGTTTAATTAATATTACTTTTCTGATTTTGGGGGAGGGAGGGATGGGGAGAGGAGTTCCGACTTTAAAGGTATGTTCCCAATATTACACCTCAGTGTGCTTGTATTAATTCATTAGTAGGATTTTTGACTGTAAGATGTGAAACCACATTTCTTGCATGATGTTTTAGAACTTACGTATTTCATTTACAGTCTCTTAACAAGCGACAGCAGCACTTAGCGCAAGTTTTCACAAATTAAGGATCAGTACACTAAAATCCATCCTTTTCCATGATTAAGGAAAGAAGGCTCTAGGAGGCTGAAAGGCAGGGATTTATTTCCGATTTTCACTGCTAGCTGTTTCAGGATTCCTCCTTGGGTAACTGGGGACTTGTGATGCAAAACTAAAACTGAGGAGCGGAGAGAGCAGCTGCCCCTTTCTGTGATGAGCTGAGGAGACGATTGGTAGTGACAGACACCGGTGTGTGACAGCACGTGCTGGGAGCGGTCCCGCCTTCCCACCGGGAGGGCCGTCAGTCCCTGGGAACAGCCAGCGAGGGGAGAACGGGGTGAAGCAAAGGGTTACCTCTCTGTACCTGTCCAGTGTCCTGGTTTGACTTCCAAAGCACAGCTCCATCGAGAAATGCACGTCCTGGTAAAATACACATACCTTGAGACAAGTCACAACGAGCTGCGTCTTCAGCCAAGAACCAAACCTTCTGGCTGGGAGACGCAGACAATTTCTTATGTTCTTTGTTATTTTTATTTTTTTTTTTCTTTGTTGTTGTTTGGTTCAGGTTGGGTTTTTTTAATTAATTCTAGGCAATACACTTGCCAGTCTGTTCCTACTGTCCTTGTCTGCTGATTTGAGATCCAGGTGCTGGATGCAGTCAAGTGGTTACTCTCAGCTTTCTCCGTAGTGAGGGGGTTCTTTTTCTGTTTGATGATATTTTTTTTGATTTTTTTTTTTTTAATTAATATTCCCCAAACTGTTCTTGTGCCTGTGTCTATCTGATTGCATTCCATGATGCTTACTGAGAGCTCTGGCTGCACTGTACGACAACAGAAACTGTATTCACAGGTCGCACGCAAATGCAGCACTTAAGGTCAATCTCTCTTCTTAATAAGCAATACGTAAGTGCCTTGAAACATATCTTTTTCTTTTTTTTTTTCTTTTTTCCCTGTTTATTTTTGGTTTGCTTTTCAGGTTTCCACCAGTCATTTAGGATTCTTTAGCGTCTGCCCACTTTTTAATGCTGTAATGATTTTTAAAAAGCATATCTGTAGCTTGCCCTAGAGGAAATCTTTCTTTCATAACACTAACTGTTAATTCTAAGCTCCATTATTACATTTGAGTCATGTAATTTTGCTGGATAAAGACAGCATTCAGAAGTCAGAAGTCACTCCATCCTGCCAAGGGTTGTCATTGGGATCTATTAAGAAATTAATCAAATAAAATGCTGTCAGTATTTCCTATATTTTTGGCACTTTATTAGTGGCTTAGCTCCTTTTGCTGTTTCATATGTAATGATCTGCGTTGAATGTGGATTAGCCTGCTGAGATGCTGCTGGGGTGACCTGGGCCTTCCTGCCTGGAGTCCCTTTGGGTTCCTTGGTGACCCCCTCGCTTAAGGGCAGGGGCAGACGAGCACCCTTGGATCGAGCTCGTGGAGTTTAAGTGACGCTCCCGGTTTTTCCCGGCGTTTAGCCAAGGTCACAGCTGCTTTCCTGTTGGAAAGTAGAATGGATTAGCTTGAACTACTGCTGAGATTCTCGGGTTGGACATGAGTTACCTACTGGCTTTCCAAACTGGCCAAGCACCCCCCCCACCCCCCAGTTTAGAGACTGAACTTCCACCACAGGGTGTGAGCCGTAGTTGGGATCGAGTGCAGCACTTAGAACTCACACTCAGAGGAAAATGTGCATTGGAATAATTTCTTTTACTTGTTCAAAAGGGTAAAAAGTTGGAGGAGAAGAAATGCCAAAGACTAGCACAGTGGCTGTCACCCCTTGGGTCTCTGATTCCAGGGGAAGGGAATGTGTGACGAGGGGCAGAGCCCTCGCTGCCGACGTTTCTTTTCCTGATGGATAAAAGCACAGGCAGTTTTCAGAAAATCCATCATGCCAGACTCTGGTTTTTTCCTGGGGTTCTTAAAAGCATTTTATTTTCTCTCTCTGTTTCCAGTTCCATGCTCTTACTAATGCTGTGCAGGAAGGGCCAGGGCTGTTTTAACAGAAATACGTTTATATTGCAGTTAAAATTGTCAGGTTTTCTCTCTGGATGGTGAGGGAAGGAAAAAAGTGTAGTGCTTTGTTTGCTAAAAGCCAGCAAAGAGTATCCCTTGGCAGAGGGGTCATGTAGCAGAATTGTCAATACACTGCCATTTTTGAGGATACAGAATTCAGAGAACAGGATTGCACATGTTTATTGGCAGAAATGCATTTAATTACAGCTTCTGTTGATGCCATAAAATTGGACCATTTTATTTGCTCATCTGTAAAATGCCTATAGAAAGAGCTGCCCTTTAAAGGGACCTGTGTCAGTGCACTCTGCCCATGTCATGAATTAGTGAGTCCTTTAGTAATAAACTCCTTGCTGTAATAGGAAAGATCTGTATTACAGCTGAACAGAAAAAAAAGCATGTGCCTTTCTCATTAGCTAAAAGATCTTTGCATTATTTTTATGTAACCTGTTGATATGGGAATGGTGTAGAGCAGGGGGTCATGAACACAACAGAATTTCTATGCAATACACTCTGATCCAATTACTTAAAACTTGCTATTTTTTAGTCCTTTATCAGGGGAAATAGTAAGTTAAGAAAGTGCATTGTTCTGGTGGTAATTCAAACTACAAAGCTGATAAATTCACATGAAATAGGATTGAGGGAAATGTGACAAAATAATGTGATGAAATCATGGAAAATGCTCACAGTAGTTGCAGTCCCCACTAGCACAGCTGCCATCAGAAGTCTCTCATTTTTCATCTTAAAGTTAATAATTTCAGGTATTCTTAAAGCTTACATGAATAAAAATGCTCCTGGCAAAAACAGGGCAGGTTAGAAATCCTAACCCAGCTAAATCCTAGGGGCTGGATTTAACATTTTCTAAAACCAAATTAAGGCTTTCCCATGAGTGTGTGGCATTTTTGGCCCTGATGTGACCAGCTGGTTATAGCCTCCTATCCCTAAATTTAGTTCCCATGGATAAAACATCAGCAAAGCAGGATTGAGTTGACTCCTGTGTTGTCCTGCTGCTTTCCCCTGTCACTTCCTGCTGCCCCACTGTGTGAACATCAACATTTTCTTCCTTTGTTTTGCATATACAATCAACTTACTTTTTAAAAAATGGAGAATTTAAAAATTCTATACAAAGAAAATACTCTTCCCCCCCACCAGCAGTTTAAAACCTGGTTTTAAATTGCAGGGAGCATCACTGGCATGGGAAGCACGAGATCTGAGTTTCTTTTCTGGCTCAGCCTTCTCAGTTTGAAAAGGAGTGTAGCAGTCCCTGTCTCCTCCACTGAGCTCTAAAACATAGAAATATAATTTCAGCAATTTGTTCTTCCCTCCCCATCTCTTTTATGGGATATATTGACTATGCCATATATAAAATATAGTTAATAATGAACTTTATAGAAAGAAAAGCCCTTTATGCCATGCCTAGGGACTGATTTGTCCTACATGACCAGGTCATGGGCTATACCCTACCCTCTTAATATGCAAGGAGAAAATGGTTTTATGCTCTGAACGTGAAATTTATCCTTTTGGAGAAGATTAGCGTTAGGCCTGTGCACTTAAGTTCTCAAAAAGCCTTAAAACCAGATATGTGAGTGGTGCCATCTCTGTCCTCAGGGATGATTCCCCGAGCCAAGCAGTACTGTGGCATATTTAACAGAAGTTATAAGGTCATTTTCCAGTTGAAGAAAGTCATTCATTGAACTTTATTAGTGAACCCCTCACCAGCACCCTCTGCTACAATCCAGGGCCTGCTTTTCCCAAGACCTGGTAATTCCGTGTCTATCCCAAAGTCCTTGCCTGTCTTTGAAGTCTGTGTTTCTACAACTACTTTATGAATGAAAATAAAAAATTAATGGGATTCCCTGGGCTTGGTTTTCACTGCCACTAACAAACATGTTCTGGCACTAAAGTGCGTTAAAAGGAAATGCCTCCTTTAAAAAAATTAATAAGATTATTGTATTTTTCCTTGTCCAGCTCTTCTATAAAGGACAGTTCTGCCATTTTTCGAGCTGGCTTTACTCACAGTGATGCGAGGAGATTTTAGCCACAGTTCTGTAGGTTTCTGATTATTAAAACTGTTGGTTTCATCATATAATTTCCTTTTCTTCAGCTTTTGAACCAGCTGAATTCAGAGAGCAGCTGAATCCTCAACCACAATGAAATAGTGCAGGAAACAATCCAGCAAAAGTAGATGCCCCTGTGTGATGTCCCATCTTGGACTTTCTGTTTGAATATTAGAGATATTTGTGCTTCGTGGTACAATCTTCATCCAAAGATCCTTGGAAATGGACAGTCATGCCAGGAATTTCCTGCTGTTGTGGTGCCATTACCTGCTTTTTGCATCATTACTGTGTAATTCTGGCAGTGTCATGACAGCAGAGCCTCTCTGTTGATAGCAAGAATAATGGCATGGGTTGCATTCTCCTCTGTCTATGCGGGTAATTAATATGCATTTTTAGGAGTTGTTAAACGTGTCTTTGTACATCATCCCAGTATGGAAAAGCCCCTCTGTGTATTTAGTATTTGTGTGCTTGGTCGTAATGGTGCAGTGGAGTTGCTACAGCCAAATTTGTGAAATCATTTGGGAGGCAGGTGAGCGAGGGCTTAAAACCAACGTGTATTTTAATGGGTGGAGATGCCATTTCCCACTTGTCAGATCCGTTCCCTGTTGCAAAGAGGGGATTAGTCATGGGAGAGACTGGGCTGTTGGAGATACACAGGTTTAGCTAATGAGGACAGGGAAGATCATGTTCAGAATACATAAAAATGATCCCAAGGGTCTGAGATGTGCAAGAGTCAGACATTGCCTGCAATATCCTGTGATAATTACTCTGTAGGTTTGGCTCCTGCAGGAAGTTAATATGCCAGATATTTGCACACTTCCAGTGTACTCTCCTATATCTGTGTCCAGCAGGAAGGTGGACAGTCAAGACATATTTAAAACAATCTCAAAACCATCTGATGAAGTAAATTAAAACCAAGTATCGAATTCAGGCAGTTCAGGTTTGCTGTCCCTAAGCTGAAAATTCAAGTATTCTTAGGAATGAGATAAAAAACCTCTGTTAGGCAGCTCCTGTCGGAACGCGAGTGTCTGTGCTTTCAGGAGAATAAATAAAACCTGGCACTTGACTTGCTCTGAAGTACAATCTTGTCCCCAAGTAACTAGAAAAAAATACTTTCTACAATCAGTCTTTCAATCAGACTTCTCTGGCTTTTGTAGCTTATGTTGGACCCTTTGTGCTATTTTGGTGTGTTATTTATGTGTGGGTAAGTTATTACTAGCTTTAAAAGTGTTTCCAAAGTACCTGGTTACCTCTGGATGCTGGTGCAGGTGATACAGGGAGTACTTGAGCATTTGGTTCAGAAAGGAGCCGTGTGGGGAATAAGCAAGGTCACATCTGTATCATACTTTTCATTTTCCTTGATCAGGGCTTCCATTTCCTTCTCACTTGCTCCATCTGGAGATGGAGATCATGGATCATTTCTTTTTTCTGGGGGGAAAGATTTGAGTTAAGCTCGAAACTATTTTATTTTCACTCAGAAGGCATATCATCAAAATCCTGTACGCTGCCACATCTCCCGTTAAGTTTTTAGGGTTTTGCTACTTATCTGAAATTTCCTATTTTAACAAGCTCTCTCTACTTGGAAAGCTATGTGCCTTATTTCCTAATCTCTTCATGGAGAATAATCTAAAGCACAGTGATCTGGATTGCAGCATTCCCAGCCGCTTTTCCCCCGGAGGGGAGCAGACACTGGTGGAGTCACACATCGCCCCTTTGCTCACGAGCACTTCCCACGCTGTGCTTGAGTCTTAGTGCAATAGAAACTCTGGTTCTGTGTGTCTGGAGGGTCGTGTCCTGCTGCCAACACAGCCAGGCACGAGCTCTGGTTTAGGAGAATTCAGGTTCCTGGGGGTTAAAAACAAAAAAAAAATAATCCATATCTCCAGTGGGTCTCGGGGTGGGAATCAACCATCACCCAGCAGTGTTGATCTCGTTAGGCTCAGTCTCACCCCCTGTGCTCGCAGGTCTGTCAGCATCCAAGAAACACTCGTGGGCACCAGCCATCACAGCCCCATGTCCTTGGGGCCACCATTCACACCTGCTGTCCCCATTTCCACACCCACAGCCGTGTTGGCTCCGGTTGGTGAGGCACTGCAGAGTCATTTCAGTCTGAATTTGGTTCTGCCCAGAAGAGGCTTTCACCCCCCAGCACCCTCAGCCCTTCCCAGCCCTTGGGTGTCCTTTTCCAGGCTTGCTCTCTCTAAAGCATCATAAGGTGAAATACATAGAGGTGGTTTGTAATTAGGAAAACAATCTAATATTTCCTATTTATGAGATTAATTTTAACGGTCGGTTGGGGTTTTTTGTTGAGATTTGTTTGGTTTTGTTTGATATAAACACAACAGGAGTATACATATCATTGGTTTGGGTTGGAAGGGACCTTAAAAATCATCTCATTCCAACCCCCTGCCATGGGCAGGGACACCTCCCACTAGACCAGGTTGTTATCCCCTAAATGGATGTTGGAGAAAGCTTGGGATATCCTAGAGATGGAGCAGGTGGTGTTGGCTTGTAGTGTCCATATCACTGTGCCCCTGTTGTGTTTTCTAGAGCAATCATTTTTTTTCTTTAAGGAAAAAAAAACGTATTTTATCTAAATGCCTAATAAATAATATTATTTAAATAGCTTTTAAAATAATTTAGGACTGAGAACAAGAAGCCTCAGTTGTGAGAGAAAAGACTTAAAGTATACAGAGAGAGAAAATACCCTGAGCCTCCTAGAGCCTCTACTGAGAATTTGCTGAAGATGCAGAGCCCCTGGTCAGAGCACATTGCGATTGTTCATTTAAAATGAGAGACTGGTTTCCTGTGATGTTCATCTTTGTTGGCATTTGTTTGGCTTTCTGAATTCAGAGCTGATTTCCTTCTTGTTCAAAGTTAGTCAAGGAAAAAAAAAACAAAAACAAAAAAAACAAAAAGGGAGAAAAATCCCAGTTCACCTTGTGGAGCAGCAGCTTCTCCTGGCGTGGGCTCTGGAGACCCACGCTGTGCGTTGATCTGGGTCACAGAGGAAGGGGTTCAGTTTTCTTGCAGCATCAAGACAGGTTCAGACAGGCTTTCCCTGGCGAGGTAACACTGGTGAGCGAGAGAAAAGCTGCAGAAGCCAGACTGCAACCCCCAGTTTGGGGTAGGGGGAGCGTGTCTGCAGGGGGGGACGGTCCCAGGGCTCCGGGCCCAGAACCGACCCGGTCCCACGGTACCACCTGGCATGGGCAAAGCTGGAAGGTGCTGAGCCAGCTGCAGGGCACGTCACTCACCACTTCTGTGGATTGGGAAGCCAATTTGCACTTTGCCTTTCGAGGGTGTCCCACTAAAAAAAAACAAAAAAAAAACAACAACAAATCATCCGATGAATTTCCCACTAAAAAACCATCCGATGGGTTTCCCACGTCAGGTTCTTTTCCTTCTGGCGTAGCCCAAAGGAAAAAGAAAATAAGATTAAATAAGGCCTGGTGTAAGTGTTGGATAAGCTCTGCCAAACAGAAGGTTGTTCCTCTCGGAATACTCTATGCATTTCTGTGGTGAAAAGCATTTTCTCCCGTTCCTTGCTGGAACGCTGCGAGAATGTCACACGTAGGAATTTGGACATCGATCCCAAAGCAGGTGGAGGCTGGGGAGGGGGGAATGTTCTTTTTTTTTCCTTCTTCTTTTTTTTTTTTTATTTGTTTCCCTCATGTCCCTCTTCATTTATTTTTTTTTAATTAAAAAAATTAACTCTTTTGCATTTGTGCAATAACTACTTGCCATGAGAATGGGCAGACCTTGGAAATGCCCCGACTACTAACACAGCACAAGATGAACTCGAACAGAAAGTGGTGTACTTTTTCCTGAGAACTTTTTTTTTTTTTTTTTTAATAATAAGCTCAGTTTTTACCCCAGTGTATTGTGGTGTCTTACATTTTTAGCAGTATTTTATATTTTTTTCTGTAACGCACTAAGTCTTAGATGTTTTTAGAGCTTGTTTGTTATATTCACAATCACAGATTTAAAAAAAAAAAAAAAAGGAAAAAAAAAAAGATCCTCACAAAGACCCAATTGACCAAAAAAAAAAAAACCCTACAAAAAAAAAAAAAAAAGGGTTTTTTTTTTTTTTTTTTTTTTTTTTTTGTACAAGTAGCTTTGAGAAGCCCACATTGTGTTGCTGTGACTCATCTTTTGTAACATTTTATTTCTTGGTATTTGTTTAAACATAAAAAAAAGTTAAGAGTTTATCTGGCTGGCAGTGCAGGGCAGCGCTCCCTCGTCAGCAGACGGCATTGTTTCTGTCTTTGTTTGGTTTAGCCATATAATGTTTGTTCTCAGCACTGTACAACGGTCCCTATATGATATGGAGAAGCAATATCACTGTATGAAACTCACACGATGTATTATTATTATTATTCACTAGCACCCTAGGTGTGATAATTGAAGTAAATATCTTTTATACAAACACAATTCCGCGTGGGCTTGTCTTTTGTCGAGGTGAGACCTGAGTCCAAGCAGCAAACATTTACATTGTGGTTCTGGTTTGGTGATGTGCACAGGGCTCAAGGGGGCTGGCTTGATGGGATTTGTGTTTGGCCAGGGGAGGAAAATTTACTTTTTGTGTATCAGTTCCTACAAGGAGTGTGTGTGTGTTCTCAGTACCTTAAATATTGAAGTGTTAGATGTCCAAACTGTATCCTTTGTTCAGTGAAATCCAAGTGTGACAATTCCTGCTGGAGTCAGTGGGAGGTGGGCACCCAGCTTCCTACACAGAAATATGTATTTTGGGTTTGAGACTACAAAGAGAGGTTGTTTTGAGCACTGTAACAATGTATCAGCTGATTTTTAAAAATTAAATTCAATCATCTGAGGTCAGAAATGCTTTAGATTCAAAAATGAAAATGCAGAGGAATTTTCCCAGATATTTGGCTCTCCCTGTTTATTTTTACAGATCCTTTATAGGAAAATAAATTCCTCCTCTAGTGCCTTAGATGTTGTTCCTATAAATATTCTCAATATTTACAGAGTCAGGAGTTTGAAGTTTGGTAAGGAACAGATGTTGTAATCCATCAGTGGGATTATATTTTTAAAACTAGTGGAATAAACTGCTGGCTTGGATACTCTGGGTGTGAGGTAGAGCATGTGTGTGTGTGTGTGTGTGTCCTTACCTGTGTGCTCTGTTTTACCTGGCGTGCTCATGTCTGGGCTTTTTTGTGAATTGAAAGATTTTGAAATGCCTGTGACAAGGTTGTTCCACATCATGGGAAGGTTCTGGGTTTAACACCTTTTCCCCCCCCTTCTTTTTAACAACTGGTCAAACTGTTCATTGCTATAAATGGCATTATCATGTATAATTTGACCCTGGTTTGGTTTTTTTTTTTTAAACTTGGTGCTAAACAGCTACACTTTTAAAGCCGTGACTGAGCTTGGTTAATTTTTGTACTTGTAACCTGCACTTTTCTTTAGGTGGTACCTGCATGGAACTCCTCAAATCACACCCAGGGTCATGAGCAAAGGATGTGTTACACTTGTGAAAGCACAGACCTAGTTTGGGGAGAAGCTGGACAAGGGTCACTGCTCAGAGTTTAGCATCTGGGATAAAACCTGGCTGTTCTCTCAAGCCTTACTCTCCAAAAATGTATTTTTTTGGGAGAGTAGGAAGGCAACCCAAACCCCCAGGGTGCATGTGAGAGGTCAGGAGCAAGATACAGTTTTCCATGGAGATAGTTGGATCTCTGTGATAGGTTTCATTGGGGCAGCCCTTCAAAAGGGATGTTGAAAATCTCCTCTTTGGAAGAAATTTAGGCTGTGTGTTCCCCCAGACCCTCAGTGGTCAGCACTGGGACGTACCTGTGTGCCACCACTGTTCCTGCTGGGACAGAGCTGCTGCTGGGCTTGGATGGGTGAGATTTGAGTAGGAAGCATTACAGGGATTTGCTGGATCAATGGGAAAATCCCTTGTTTGTTGGATCCTTGGGTGCAGGAGGAAGTTGGCACCTCAGTGCCACAGGTACTGGCCGAGGTCCCGCTCCTGCCCCGCCATCAGCGAGAGGCAGTTCTGTCTTTCAGTGGGAAGGGGGATATTTTTCCACATGGCATCCTGTTCCCACCAGGTAAGGAATTGTGAGTGGCTGACACGGTGCTTTTGGGCCCCACTTCTTTCCAGTTGGAAATTGCTGTCATTTTCTCCCGAGTATTTCTGTTTTAATGGAAGTGGTGAAGAAATTGTGTTCTTGCCAACAGAGGGCTTCAGAAAACATGATTTGATTACAGTAGAGCATTTTATTTTCTTTTTGCTCCAAGCTATGGGAAACTGATAAGAAAATTCAAACTGTTTTCTTGAACTCTTCCTAGTTACCCATGTAATTATCTTAGAACCCTTGGAAATAATCCCTTCTTCTATGAAATCTCGATCCTTACAGGGTGAATTTATTAAGCAGTGCTGTGTTTCTTTGCTGGGGGCTGTTTATTTTGGAGTGGCTGGGCCAGGAGGAAAGGGAAGGAGAAATCCTTCAAACCTTGCATTCCCAGCAGGCCCTGTAAATGTGAAAAGAAAGGGAGAAAAGGAGGGGAGGGAGAAGAAATCTCACCTGCACCTCCTCTGCCAGCAGCTGGCAGAGAAACCCAGAGAGCTGGGTGGTGAGTGGGGCAGGCACCCATAGAGCCAGGGAGTGGTTTGGATTGGAAGGGACTTTTAAAGGTCATGAAATCCAACCCCCTGCCATGGCAGGGACACCTTCCACCAGACCAGGTTTCTCCAAGCCCTGTCCAACCTGGCCTTGGACACTTCCAGGGATGGGGCAGCCACAGCTCCTCTGGGCAGCCTGTGCCAGGGCCTCACCACCCTCATCATAAAAAAAACCTTCTTCCTTAGATCTCATCTAAATTGTATTTCTTTTTTCAACTAATTTCTTTTAGTTGAAAGCCATCACCCCTGGTCCCACCTCGCTGCAGTTCAGTGGCTGCTTCTGCTCTTCCCCAAGGCCACCTTCCAAGCTGACCCTGAGGGCACTGACAGAAAGAGCTGCAGGGATCAGAGAAGGATGCTGGTGTTGGGATGAGCATGGCAGCTGGGGCAAGAGGATTTTTCCCTGTGCAACCTCCCAGCCCTTTGTCACTTGGGCAAATGAAGTCTCAGATGTTGTTCTCAGGGTGTTGGATATGATCTGCTTTCTACTGTCCCCATTTCTCCCTGTCTTTTTGACAGCAGGTTAAAGTAAAACAGCAGGGTTGTTCTTGACTGGTGCCAGTCCCAGCCCTTCCTGTCTGGGACTGCACATCTTCTGCACCATCCCTGAAGGACATCATTGAAGGTCTTGATGTCTTTGCTTACAACCTCTGTATCTGTAGGGAACCCTCATTGCTTCACTCCTGGAGCTTTTCCAGGGCTGGTATCTGTGCCTAAAGACCAGGTAGATTGTGCTAGAACTTGCAGATGGCTTTTAGAGATGTCATCACACCTTTCTTTTCATCATCTCCTTGCTTTTTTCGCCCTTTCAGAAACCTTGCAGGAGATCTGATCACAGAATGATCTCATGGCAGGTACCAGTAAACCAGGACAGCCCAATGGATACCCACAGGCAACATTGTAGGCTGAGATGATTCCCAGATTCCAGGCATTTTGGCTACTCAGGTGCCCTTAGAGCTGACTGACCTGGTGATTTCTAGAGAAGTTGCTTTAAAATGTCTCAAAAGCCCTTCTGTGAGGTGAGAGGCACCTCAGCAGATGGCCCAGCTGGGCTTTTGCACCACAACCCGCTCTTTGGCCTTTACTCTGACGAGATTTGCACCTCAGATCCCAGGAGACAGGGCCCTGATGCCTTGCAGAAAAGAAATGTTCAATCATTCCCCACCTCCTTGTCCTGTTTCTCAGCCTGCTGACAGTTCAGTGGTGGCCCCAGGGAAAAGGCTCTGCATAAAGACAGATTGAGTGACTCCCACACACCCTGGGCCGTGCAGAAATGCTGTCCCTCAGCATGAAAAGGTCAAGACAGAACTGGAACCATCAGGCTGTACAACACTGAAAGGCCTTGGACAACCTTCCTGTTTAGGGGAGCATTCTGGCTCAGATCTTTCTGCCTTGGCATCTTCATAGACCAAAAAGAGGGCAGAGAAAATCATCCTGTGCACCCAGGATTGACTCTGCAGTGTTGACTGTGTCCCCCTCACCCCTTCAGCTCCAAAGCACAGGGTCAAGTCATCTCCCTTTGATTGTCCTGGAAGGGGAGCAGGACTTTGGGCAGTAACAGTCTTCTTCAGACTTCCTTAAAAGGTAAATGCCTTGTGTTTCAAGAGCCTGAAACTGTGCCTGTTTGTATATAAACCTTGGGATCTCTGGCATCAGGTAGAGCCGGAGGTAAGGCTTGGAAGTCTTGGCCCTTATTTCTGCATGGGGAAGAACCGTGATTTCCACTTCCAAGTCACTCTGCACAGCAGCCCAGCCATTAACTGGAGTGGCCCAACGTGGGGGAAGGTGAACAAGGTGGAAAAATCAAAGGGCCCGTGGTAGGCTCTGCTTCCTGCTGCTTCTTGTGGCTTCTGCTTCTGGCACTCTCAGACACCCATGTTTGTGTTGAGTGAGTCTCCAGCTTTGAGTCCTCGCGCCAAGGTACTCCAAGGTTTCGTTATCTTACCATCATCTTCCTTCCAGTCAGTAAAATACACTTCAATCCTTTGAAGTAGTGGGTTTCAGTGCACTTCAGTTGACTTTTCAAAGAAAGCTCCCAGCGTGCCACATCACTCCTCGGCTTGTTTTCTTATTTTTTTTACAGTTTATGTAAATTTGAGGAGGCCAGACAGTAACAGAGGGAGATTAAAAAGTTCCCACAAGGCAAATCAGGGTGTGAACTTGCAGAGCATCAGCTAATTTGCCATAACTGCCCATGTGTGCTCCTACCCTGATCCCTTCAGCAATACCACTTACCTCTCATTTCCTTCAGGCTCAGAGGATATACACGAGCAGTTACTTCAGTCTCATGGATGTGCAGCAAGTTACAGCCTATCTCACCCCAAGGTGATTTATTCATCTGTCTGTATCCTCAGTAATCAAGCCACCATCTTATGGAAAGATTGCCTCTCATTTATTTATGTCTGGCCTTATAACTTCAAACTAAGTTGCTAGTGTGTCTTAATTTTCTCCATCTGTGAAAACAGATGCTGTTTATTTTGGATGATTTGCCAAGGGAGCCCAGTTGCTGGGGCTTGTTACGGGAGTCAGAGTTGCTGCTGCTCCGTGGCAGCGCTGGGCTCGTGGTCTCACAGGCACTGCCAGGCTCCCAGTTCCCCTCCAACGTGCCCATGGAGACTGGGGCTCTGGGGTTGTTCTCCTCAGTATTCACCACAGGGATTTAACCTGCAGCTTTGGAGCGGCACGAGCCCGACGGGGCTGCTCACGACGAAAGAAGTGTGAGGTTCATCTGAATCTTTTATTCTCAGTTTGGGACTGTTTTTGTTTTCACTCTGTGTGAGGC